TCGTACGACGAAAATCGGATGCAGTGTGAATCCAGCATAAGGCCGGAATCAGACTATGCATTGAATATTGAGATTGAAGATTGAAAGATTGAATTTGACCAATCAAAACAATAGGAGCTAAAATTCCTTTGTCCTCACTAGACATCGAGCTAGCTTGATGTTGATTGGACCGCAACGCTTGCGACGCTGCGATGCGACTACTGTAGAACCAGCTTGATGCGGGGTCTACAATGGCTGCGTTCAGCAGACTCAACAGTTTTGCAACCGTTTTATGATTGTCTGCTGAGATAGGACCATTCTTCTAGATCTAAAAGTATGATCCAATCAGCGCGAAGGAAACTTCCAACAGTTGCAAAACAAACGTTCTGCTGAACGCAGCCAATAGAAGCGTAGCAATCGTAAGGTCTTAAGTCGTAGAAAATTGACCAATCAGTCGAATATGAGAAGAATAATCAACTGTGATTGGTCAATTTTCTACGACTTAAGACCCTACGACCGCTACGACTTCTATTGTAGACCCCGCATTAAGCGTTAAAATTGATGACCATTCAGGTTAGGAAATGTCAGCCGCGAAATATTGCGCTGCGGTCACATTTTCATGCTCTATGGTCACGTGCTTCAAAAACACGAAAGATCAGTGCTTTAAAAACACAAAAGTACTGATTCAAAAACAAAAAAATTCACTGCTAATGCAAAGAATTTGTGTATTTAAAGCAGTGAATTTGTGTTCAAAGCAGTAAAATATTTTTTCATTAAGTATTTTTCGAGTTAATGAAAAAATATTTTATTATAGTGTTTTGAAAAGCTCTCGAGGCAAGCTACAAGAAAATGTAATGAAAAATAGGGGGTTCAAAAAATTTAAAAAAATTGACGTGACCTTGATCTGGCCTTGGCGATGCCACCCAAGATCAAATCAATGGTATCTTCTTTTGTCCTCCTCCGAATTATACAACTTTTGTTTGAAACATTTTTTCGTATCTACCACAGTTTTCGAGAAATCTTAACGCATTATTTAAAATGGGATACGTACATTAGGACTGTATAAAATTAATTTAAATTAATAATTAACTAAAAAAATAAATATAGTAAATCAATTACAAAGTTTGGTCTTAGCTTACATATGGATAAAAGAAGACTGATTGTTAAATTAACATACAAATAACGTAGTTTTATGTAATTAACAATATTGACAAAAACATGATTTCATTAATTACAAAGGAGAAAGATACAATTGTATTTGGCTCCAGATTTGAAAAAATATCGATATATTTAGTATAAAAAGAGGACAGCGTACTGTACGGAAGATATATAAAAGTGTTATTACTTTTAAATCTGTTTAATTTCGCCGCTGCAATGTGGACAATATGTCATATTGCTTGCATTGCATCGTGGAAGAAACATTTGTCCGCCAACTGCGACCGCCGCCCCCATCACCGCAGTACAAGCAACATCTCTTTCAGTCATGGGTAACTTTTTATTCAGTAACTGCAATTGAGATATTAAACTCATTATATCAAAATATTATGTGTCGTCATTAGGAATAAAAAAATCAAATAACTACTTTTTCCGCATTGTTCTCTGCAAGAGTTTTCATATCTAAACCGGTTATATTTAATTCTTTCTGTAATTCCGAGTCTGGTATACCACTTAAAAGACTGACTCTGAGAATTTCCACAAGTTGACAACATCCCTGTGTAAGATCAACAATATTGGTGCTGATTAATTCGTGTTTCTTACCGGACGTTGTTCCTATGGAATCGAATTTCTCTCGTAGGATTGTCAACATTCTGGATAAGTAAAATTTGCAGTTCGATAAAACTATATGAATACAGTATAGCCATTATATAACACCTGCAATATATACCTGTAGGTTTTGAACAATGTATCACGAATAGTGATATGTTCTTCTAATAATCGTTTTATAGTTTCCTGCAATTCTGTTGTTCTCTGGCAAAGTGCAGCTTTCCATCTTGCCAAATCCTCCACCATTAAACTGTAATAAGCATCGTTTTAGCAATAAATTTAGCAAAAATGCTTGTTATCGTTATTTTTTGTTACCGTTTTAACAAGAAACAATGTAATAGATTTGATGCAAATCAAAGCAAAAACTAAAAATTCCGTGCGTGTCGGAAATGTTGTCAATTACCTACTAGCTAAAAATTTACTTCTCCAAACTTCACATTGGCCTGCTAGCCATTCTATTTGTTCTTGATGTGTAGACAAATGTTTGGCTGAATTCAAGAGGGCTCTCGCAAGTTGCAATTTGTCCTCGGTTAACAAATGAACTCTTGTTTCTAGATCCTCTCCTACTGCGGCAACTAATAAATTCTTTAATTCTCCATTGACCTGTGTGCATATACACATACATCCTGGCATAAATTATACATTATATAAATTTTAACATTTAACTTTTTGTTCCATGTCTCATATATGGGACACCATTTTGCAGCTTTCCATATTTTTAATTAGTTTTTAAAAATTTATTTCCATATTTTATAGTTGGTCTGTATAACATATGTATATTTAATATCTTGGAAATAATAAGAAACTCCACACATTCTTTATTTCATTTTCTTTGCAATATTCAAAGAATTTTTTTAATCCAAATATTCCAAAAAATTATGAGAATTGATTATAAGTTTGAAAAATCTTGTCGCGCGGCGGTGACAACAAATGTTTTAACGACCATTATAATTCCTAAGTTAATGGGAATAATTAACAATTATATAACGTGTAAATGACGTATGTTTTCATATGTGACAGCAGTTCATTGTTCAAAAGCCAAAATGTTTTTAATATCTCTGTAACAATGCTGCAAGAATTTTTAAATCTGTATTATGTAATATATATTATAAACAATAAAAATCTTATTTTTAGACCGTACCATGTGAGAAATACAATTAATAATAGAAATTCAAAGGCCTATACCGGTCGAAGCTAGATCTTTAACGCTTTTAAATAATTCAATGTGAATTATATATATACTATATATGTACTTGCATATACAACATATTTGTAGTTCTTCAAACTGCACGCCGAATTGGTTTTCTGAACTTATAAACGCAATTAAACTACTGGAACAATATCACGAATTAAATTAAATTGACAAGCAATTCTTAAATAATTTTGATGCACAATCAGGCAACATATTAACAAGATGTTGTATGTAATATGTATTATATAGGTATTACAATTCCTGATATCTACAATGTTGCAGCGATATTACAGCACAATCTGCAATGTTGCAATGTTTCTGCAATGATACTGCAAGTTTCTGTGCTATATGGGAACTTCCTCATGTGTATTTTTGAAATGTGAAGCTAATCAATAATATTTTAGCAATGAAACTGTGTTGTTTCCAATTTTCACACCAGTATATATAAATATATAATTATATATAATCGTTTATAAATATGTACGCAAAATTTCTTATAAGAAATCAGGTTAATTTAAATGAAAATGACAGATCTTGCTCAGTTTCTGCTGCCAATCTGCCGTTAGGTTATGTCAGCAGGCTTTGCTCGGTGTTTGCTCACAATCTGCTGTCAAATTGTCAGTAGACTGCTCGGTTTTTGACAGCAATATACTGGCAAAACATGTCAGCAGGCTTTGTCGACAAATCCATAGCCAAATACAGACGTAGATGGCTATGGTTTTGTAGTCAAAATCTGCTCGAGTTTGCTGCCAATATGCGTGCAAATTGCTAACATTTTGCTATTATAGTAAGAATATTAATAATTTGAAAAAATTAATGTATATTGTTATACCTGTACTTGAAATTTCAATTGAGTTTCAAGCTGATTATTTTCTTCTTTCAATTTGCGAATTTCAGACTCATATGTTCTTTTTTCATTATTCCACTCATCTTCTGATGTTTCCGCTTTGCTTTCTTTCATACAATCTTTCAACTTTGTGTCGTTATCCTGGATCTTCAATGCAGCAATTTGTGCAACTGTAGCATTTAAACTAGATTTTTTTTTTAATTTCTTTTTTTTTTCAAATGGTACAATTGGATTTACAGCTGCCTTATATGGTTCATATGGTATAAATTTTGGGTCTTTTGACTTCAAAGAATGCAAAATATGCTTCTCTTGTTTTATATTACTAATATTTTTTGGTACTAACTTTACTATTGTACCAATAGGAGTGACCGGAGATGTTGATCCTAATTTCTTCAAATTTGTAGGATGGTAAATAAGAGTGTCTCCCAGACGACTTCGACTTTGCCTAATTTCGACTCTATCTACCGTCGCATTTTCCATGCCATCTCCTTGAGTTCGTTCTACGTAACCCATCACATGAACATCTTGAAAGATTATTAATCAAGATATAAAAATTGTATCAATATGCTATATGTAATTCAAATATATTTTTAATTTATGTCATTGTTAAAGTCAACAACTTATATTTTTTAAGTTAACAATTATTATTTACAATGATCTAGTTTCCATTGAAATCCTCAAATTGATTACACTTCAGTACAGATTAAATTTACAATATTGTTTCTCTCCACATTAGATGTAGAGATTTTGTCAATCTTAACAATACAGTGAAATAAGTGCAAATGCATTCCTACTGACTAAATATAATTCTATGACGCATTAGGTTCTTCGGTGAAAAATAGACCAATGACTTTGTATTTAGACACAACTAACCTGGTTGACAATGAATCTTCTGTTTCTTGATATTTGTAAAAGTATTCATTTCGGCAGTATAAACAGTTATCGCAGATAATTGTATAATATGTCATGTGGTCAATATTTACAATTTAAGGCGAATATGATATAATTCAAATGCGTTCATGTCATTAAAAACTGCATATGTTACAGAAAAAGAAGTTGGCATCAAAGGCGTAGAGGTACTTAAGTATACAGTTTAGCTATAGCACCTCAAAATTCAATAAAATTAGGTTTATTCAACACGTTTTTGCACGAAATAAATGAATCTGGCAAAAAAGTCGCTCTGCCCCATAGACCGAGATATTAATCGTTAAGGTTGACGACTAGTTGACGACCATTGACGATGATTCAGGTTAGGAAATCCAGAGATTAGCAAAGAAAATAGATCATCAACTCCCATATTTTGTTTGGAACGCCGCCTAGGCGAATATACATGAATGAACTAATATTCAATACGCTAACCTCTAAGGGCGCGTTCACACCTTGACGGAAAAGCAGAAAGCGGAAAAGCAGCAATCAATCAGAACTCGCCCGTATCGACCTCCTTTTTATATGCTGGAGGCGGGAGCCATTAATTAAGAAGAAGAATCAGAACTCGCGCTGGAAGTCGACAATTTCGGTTTTTTGCACTACTTACGTAACGTTGTTCTAGAATCTTCTGTGAAAATAATATTCGTTCATTTACAGAAAAACTATGATAATTATTAACTATCGGGAGATGCGAAAGAGTGGCAGCGGAGCCCCCTCGCATTCTCTCGCGCTCGTGAATCGTGGGCGATCGAAAAGGGTCGCCTAATCGGTACTTGGCGATATGGCGATCGTGTTTTTTCTGCACGAGTTTGAGTCTGCTTTTAGCAACCGTTCAACGGAAATTGTCTTTTATTTACATAGGTGCTTTTTTTCTCTTGGCGGCGGAATTTTTGTTGAACCTGTGTAATTTTTGAAGCCCTGATTGCGAGCGTCGCGATGCGCTTGTAATTACTGCATTAATATTCATATTATTTGAATTAATTGACAAAATTCTTTTATAGATTGATTTGCCGATGAGCATAAAGAAACTCTATTAGTGAGTCTAAGGCCCTGCGCACAATGGAGGAAATATTAAGAACAGAAATAGATATTAAGATTTCAACCTATCAGAAACCGTGTATTCCGATGTAACTGGTATCTGATAGGTTAAAATCTTAATATCTATTCCTGTTCCTAATATTTATAGGCTTAACTTATTAACCTTAAGTTCGCAACCGAGATAGAGTTTATCATTGGGTGCGTTCAGCAGAACGTTTGTTTTGCAACTGTTGTAAGTTTCCTTCGCGCTAATTGGATCATACTTTTAGATCTAGAAGAATGGTCCTATCTCAGCAGACAATCATAAAACGGTTGCAAAACTGTTGAGTCTGCTGAACGCAGCCATTGCTATAGCAACGATATCGGTTTCGCGAGCAGTGGCGGTCGTTGTTGTAATTTTCAATAGCGGACGTCACAATTGTAATTAAAAGATAAGAGTATCTTTGAATAAAGATTTTTATTAATTAATAAATAATTAGCAATTTTATTTGACTTTCCCTTAGGAATTTGCAATTTCCCGCAGGAATCCCCACTCTCTAAGTTTTAAGGTATCATAAATTAATCGCAAAACTTTATTAACATCTAATGACAATCTTAAAACAAAAATTGGCTATGAATAATGGCCAAAACTCCTATACATTTATTACTTATTCTATTTAATTTCTATTATATTTTACAAGTATTTGTAATTTTATCGCTTTTGATGTCACAATCTGACAAGGGAACGTTCCAAATTGCAAAAGCGATATCAAAAAAACTAACGCTACCAGTCGAAAGATCACGTTTGAAATAAATATTCTAGATAGTCAAATCTTGGGATCCTATAGATTCTGTACCCAATTTGATATGAAATATTTGGCGTGATCTTTCGACTGGTAGTGTTAATTTTTTAATATCGCTTTTGCAATTTGGAACGTTCCCTTGTGAGATAGTAGTGAAAAACAACCAGGAGCTATAAAGATTTGCATCTCTTGCTTCCATTACTTATTTTACTGTTTTAAGACAGATTCTAACTTTACTTTAGTTCAACAAAATGTAATTAGAACATAAAGTCTTATAAACGAAGACATAAGAAAGCATTCTAAGGATAGGATTATATCAATTTTATTCTCAGACGTTTAACTTCTATTAGCACGATTACCCCACCCACGACGATGTGTGTCTTTATATTCATCCATTGCACGTAGTCGTTCGAGATATTCGGGATCGTCTTTTTCTTCTTTTTCTTCCTTCAAAACGGTTTCACTATTTTCATTGTTTGTGCTTACACCTTTATTCGCCATATCTTGTAAACATCGAGAATTTGTTGCATTATGTTGCGATGAATCGGGCCACCTGAAAATAACACAAATTTTTTATTTCCAATTTTTCTTACCAATTCCAAAGTTTAATAAAAAAAAAAAAGCTTATTGAATATACACTATTCAATAAAAAATAGGGACCATTTTCGAACACGCTCAAAATTGCGGAATATTCAGAACAGTGATTTGGTGAAAAATCATCCAATCACAGTCTAAAGTTAGAAGAATGATCGATTACACAGGCCCACAAAAAAAGTATCCTGTACTGTGGTGTAGACCCAGCTATTCTTATATATTTTGAGTCGCTAAATACGAATCTGACATAAAAATAGGACCATCCAGGGAAAATTTTCAATCTAGAGCAAAAAAATGCGTCAAAAACCTCAAAATCTGCTTTTATTGATATATTCTTAGAAATAGAATATAGGTCTTAGAATATATCAATAAAAGCAGATTTCGTGTGTGATTCGTTCTGTTCGTTCTGTGTGGTCGGCTGCGATAAACTGTGATTTGTTACGGTTTATGCCTTACTATATCATACTACTCCAATTGTAGATGACCCTTAATAGTCTCAAATTTTTGACTGGCATAATCTCTACTTACTCTCCATCCTTGACCTTTTGTTCGTAAAACTCTTGTACCGTTAAGACTGGTAAACTTGGATAGCCTGCTCCAAAAACTTTCTTTTGTATCTCATCACGTGTAATGATAATGGGTTGCAATTTTGGAGCTGATTTTTGCTTTTTTTGTATTTCAGAAGTCAAAGTATGCATCGGTTTCATTTCCTTCATATTCTCCAAAATCGCTTTCTCCCTTTTCAAGAAATTTAAGTCATCAACGATTCGAACTGCATATAATTTTATAAGAGTAACAAAATATTCTCTTTTAAATTCGTCATCAATATTAGGATTATCTAAGTTCTTCTTTAAAGTATCCAAACGAGATTCCAAATCCTTCTCCTGTTGATATCTTTGTAACTTTGTATTTCTACGAATTATCTGAAATAAGCAAAATTAAAATAATTATACCTTATAACAGTTTACAACAATCATATAATTAAAAAACCCAACCATATTCTCTAACATCCTTGATTCTGATGTATTTTCATTATCTCCTGCTTCCTTTTTCTCATCACCTGTACTAATTTCTGGTATTTCAACATTTGTTACCAGACCATATGCTTTTAGCCGCTTTAAAAAATCTACAAAATACACTTCTGCTACTTTAACCAAATGCATTCTATCATCAATAATGCATAACTGATTGGTAAGCTTGCCCAATAGAGCCGGTAATAAAAAATACTTGATATTCTCTGTAGCTACTTCTTCGAAAGTTTCGTTATCGCTAAACATATCCACTATAGATACAAGTCTCGTTGCATCCTCAAACATATGCATTGTTCGTTTTATATCCAACTGCAACGAATAACAAGAAAAGAAAAAACTATTATAATTTTTATTGTAACAACAATATATGTATATGCAGCCGAAATTTTATATTAAAATGGTCTGCATTATAATATGAATACTTGAAAACTTTTATTATCACTGATATATTTTTTAGAAATATAATACCTGGCAAATATAGCTGATACTATATTTCTAAAAAATATCAGTGATAAAAAAAATTCTCGGGATATTCACACCAAGTGCAAGTCATTTCAATATACAGTTGTATAAATTGCCGGAAATCAGATACTAGCTGGATATCCCGTGCATCTCTACAAAAATTTTTATTTTTCACGTTTTCGCTCTAGGAAAAAAGTTACATGATTGATCCATAAGTTTTAGTTAACAATCAGTAAATTTAATGTAACGTAACGTTACGGCTGTTCTTACGCGAAGAGCCTAATAGTGCAACCACAAGAAAATAAGAATTGAAAAATCTTACCTGTACTTTCGGACTGTTTGTTGGTTCTACAGTAGCATTAATATTGTTAAACATTTCGAAAGCATTGTCAAATAATTTCGACAACGTCGTAGGATCATTCTTATCTCTTTCATGGCTTAAGCCCTTTATCAAAATTTCTTCTGACATTGCTATTCTGTGTATCAACTGATATAATCAAATCTTCTTTTTTAGGTAAATGACACCTGCCTCCGAATAAACCAAAAGAAGATTCTTTCTACCTTAAACCCTCCGTATGATTTTCTGACTGATTAGAAAGGTTATAGTACCATCAGACAGAAACCTGAGAGAGGCCATACCGTCGAAATCTAAAGTCACTTAGGGTTAGAGTTACTATAATAAGAGTCGAGACGACAGCGATTCGCCTCGGGATTGGTCAGCGCCATGTCTAGGACCGTGTGATGTGTTGAGCCGGAATCAGACTATACATTGAAGATTGAGATTGAAGATTGAAAGATTGAAATTTGACCAATCAAAACAATAGAAGCTAAAATCCCTTTGTTCTCATTGGTCAATCTTCACTCTTGAATCTCAATCTTCAATGCGTAGTCTGATTCCAGCCTTATGCTGGATTCACACTGCATCCGATTTTCGTCGTCGACGCTCCGCAACCAATCAGAAAACAGGATTCCGATGAATTTTGCTTCGTATTATCGGAATCCT